ACTCTATATACGTGTGTGTGTGTGTGTGTGTGTGTGTGCACTTCTTAAAACCTAGACAAAAATAATTTATATTTGCAAACACACACACACACATACTATATCAACATTTGCATCCGATATTGTGTGTAATGAGCAAATACCGTTTGCTCTGCACACATAACCTTTGCTCATGAATTAACCATACATTTTCCAACTGTTTGTGCATCACTTGTTTGTCTGAGCATTCTAACTTATGGCTTAAGGCTCTTCGACTTGTAATATATTGTCTTATATCCTGCCATATGGAGACCCCATATATTAAGACCCTACCACACATATGGTAGGGTCTTAATATATACCCATAAAAACAAAATATCTGAATTAGGGCTAACGTAACCTTGAATATTTTTAGTGCTCAAGTATAAAGCCTAGTTTCCGATTTCAGCTATCCCTCATTGCAAGCTGTGAAGCTTATATGCGGAACTGCATTAGATTCACATAAGTGAGAACAATGACGTTTTCTTCGACCGATGAAACGAGAAAAGGGTCACGAAATGGGAAAATAAAAATGAAATACTCACTTTTCATCACATTTAAAGGGCTGATTACAAACCGTCTCTCGTGGTGCAAAAAAAAAAAACGACTTTACGAAACGCCACAAATTGCAATTTTGTTTCGGATTTTCGCGCAAACCAACATTACGTCTATAGCCGTCCCTAAATTTCAATTGATATACTAGATGCAAAGCAGCTAGTCATAGGCACCCACCGTCAACCATTGGGTCACAAATTTCAGATGTAACCGTTGTCTTCAATACATTTCTTTCCAGTGTAAGTACCGATGTAAAACTAGTCACCAGTGGATAAAACTCGCAAAAGTTTATAACAAAATAATGTTTTTCTATGAAACCCATTAAAAACGCATCACTATAAACTTTCTCTTTTATCAGTCATTGTTAGGTAAATACGTTTAACATAAATCTAGTTTTTATATAATAAAAAACAGTACAAATGAGAATACTGATATGTGAAAGTTATGTAATGAGTCACACAAAATGAAGTTTAACGAGATAAACATTTCTGTTTAGTTCAGAATAATCTATCATGTTTTTCAAAGTATATGACTAATCTAACTTTTTTAAACCAACGCACCCATATAATAACCAACATTTATTATTAAACAGTCATAAAAACGTATTTATTTTCCATTAATTGGCTTTACTACATATATCGAGTGACGTATATTACTCAACTGTAAAATGGGTGTACTAAGACCTATGGCAATTGATATGTAACACATTTTGTACCTGTACAATGCAATAGTTTGTTAATGTAATCTACACAGATCAAAAGTACGCAGGATTAGCAGAAAACGTTAACATTGGAAAAGAAACTAGTATATTTATTATTTGTTATATTTATAGCTGGTACAAACGAATGTGTTTTTGCAACTCGGAGAGCTACAAACTAGCTTATAATACAATAGTGTTAAAACGTATTCAACTTTAGAAAAATATGCAACTATAATATGCTATCATTTTTCGAAGTATCGTTAACTCTGTTTAAATATTTCGTTTCCTAAAATACGAATGACGTACGCGCGCCACAGATACTTAGTATTAACTATTCAGTATAAAACTTCGAAACTGAAATGTTAGGCCCTAGTTTTCTATATGTCCTGAAAAGTACTCTATTTTAAGAAATTCAAAACAGTACATGATATACCAGATGCCACCCCACACTGGTTCTCTGAGCGTGGTCACGTGCAAAATCTTCCCATGCTGCGACACGAGAAACCTTTCATCTGACAATCTTTTTAAACTTAGAATCGCGTCAAACAGACCCTTCACGAACGTGTATCCTGGCGGCAAGCCATGGAACTATAAAAACTTGAAATCAGATAAAAAATATTTAGATTAAAAAAAAGACGAGAAGGTTAGATAACTCTCCTGTTGATATTTAAAAACAGATAGCTTGTCACGAGGGCTAATGTTAACGTGTTGCCTGCTCTATAAGTTAGCCGACGCGGTCAGGTCACCACGGTTATACACTCACTGTGCACAGACTGGAATCCAGATTTCGTTGGTGCAAACAAGGCATGCAGTACTTAGAGAACGCAAAGATCCATTAAACTCTGCTTATGATTTATCTTTTATATAGATCGTTAACAGTATAGGTATAACGTATAGGTTCTATGTATTATACTGTTCTAAAAACGGAAAACAAAAACTAATTTAGAGGTTTCAGGCTTTAATCAGAGTTCAAGAAGTGCGCACCAGTAATTCAACCTAAATACTACTTAAAAATTTAAAAAACGATCTACTAATTCCAGCTTATTTTGTGAAAATGTAAAACTGGATTTTACTAGCCTGCTCAGCGCCATCTGTCAGTTCGCAGTAATAGTGAAGAACAAATCAAATACGAACACAAATCTCGAAGATGTTGTGTCTTAATGCTATATGCTATAATAATCCATGATGCAAAACAACATGTCCTGACCCCAGACCAAATCGTAGCTACATGTAATTGTTTTGTGTAACGTATATGCAGTCTCATTAGGTGACGTCTTTACTTTAGGTGTCTTGTGCGAGCCATTTTCACCACTACAAACCTGCATATCAGTTTCTTAGACAAACATTTTCGTTTTTAAAGGCACTTTAATCGTGGTGTAAGTTGGTATGAAGATAGTCAAGAAAACGAGATGCTAATCAAACAAACACGCCAATATACATCACTCATTTCCGTCTTCAAGCAGCACTGAAAATCTGTGAAACTTATTAGTAAATCGTTTGTCGTACGTACTTATACTTACATTTAACTTACGCAAGATACACAGTTAAAATCTATACATCGAAAGAATAAATAAAAAATGTTTTAGGAACATGAAAAATATACTTATACTGATATTAATTGGTATTTAAAGAGAGACTCTAATTACGAGAGAAATAACGGATAACTCCCACCCCCTACAAGCTTAGAAGAACCTGTCAATAAAGCACCAGCTTTGCGTGATGTCGAACTACGGTACAACCCAGTATCAGACCACATGGTCTTGCATTTTCACTTTAGAAAAACCTAAAAGCTCCATAAGAATTTGCCGCCTTCCCCCTAAAGTAAATCTCAAATGGTTTACTGTATCTAACTACTGCCACAGCGTATCTTAATTTTCAGTTAACACCACAATAAAAGGGCCGGCCATCTTATCACACCTTACATAATCAATAGTGACAAACCAATTAGTTTACTCGCCATCGCCCTAGTGGTGAAATATCCATCAGTGAAATGCCTCTAGCATAGCTTGAATTTCTAAATAAACTTTTGTCTAACGCGTTCCATTTACTTAAGGCCAGACGTTTAACGCAAGGAAATTCGAGCTAGTCGTTGCCATGCGAAACTGTGATTATTGGGAGCGACAAATATAAAAATTGCCAAAATACTGTTTTTGAAACACCTATTATTTGTCTTAAAAGCAGTGGTGTAACTACTCAAGGGACCCAACGAAAGCTAGACAATATGGCATATTTACTCTGCTTATATTTTTGGGGGAGCATTTATAAATTTTTGCGGGGTAAGCACAAAAATCGTAATTACGCCACTGCTTAAAAGTGTTTACATTCCGTTGAAACTTCCATAGTTATGAATATTCTCGCAGTACACTCGGATATTTAGAAGCACAATATCAAATTTCTGAAGAAACGGTAATACATATTTTAACGCTACGATTATGAATTGAATTTACTTGCATGAAAGATCAGAATTTCGAACAGTTCTAGTATTCACAAACATGTATATATTTAAAAAACGTCACTTAAACCAACTGTGAACATACTTTATAGAACAGTTGAAGTTTTGAAAACCTTAATTAAAGGACAAAAATATCTTGAAACTGCATTATTTCTTTTCTTTTAAAGAAATATTTAGACAGTATGTTGACATGTTAAATACTTTCATGTAGGCTTATCCTGCCTTCTGTCTAGTTTTGAAGATGACTGAACAGAAGGCAGGAGTGCACTAGACCTCACGACTCCGCTCTCAAATTTTTTAAAAATATGCAGATTCAACTTATTCTCTGTAATGTTAAATATTCATAAGTATCCAAATATACTGTTTACACTCCTGAAAGTATATATGCAAATTAGTCTTGTATATTGGTAATGATTATAAGTTTAACGATTTGAAAAATAAAATGTATAAAAATTATTTTAAAAAGCCTACCTGTTCCCACCGGAGTCCCGGAAATTCTTTCGCAAATACTGCACTCGTGCCAAAATGTGCACCAGGTAATATAATTCCTACGCCCAATGTCACCCACATCTTTAAGGGAAGCATGGTGTAAACCAAAAACACAACAAACACTATCTCCCAGACACCATCGGCCGAACTTTGACGTTCTCCCCACGTGCCGATACCCCATGTGCCATCAGAGCCAACGTTCACGGGGAGGTTTACAATGCAGAAAGTTACAAGGAAAAACATTATAACATAACACAATGCTAACAGATGGCTATCTTTCATATACTTTGTGTATGAAAATATCAACAGACCAATGAAAGTGATGCAATGTATTAAAAAATAGAGGTTTGCGAAGGTGGGTGAACGAATAAAGATAAAATGCAACACTGTAAGCACAGCACTTAGGAGAATAAATAACGCCAACACACTAACAATAGAAGACTGCTGCATCTTGAAGATATATCGTTGATACAATGTTTCCAGTTCGTCATTCTCGAATCTTCTTCTGTTTAACAGCCGGGAAAATGCCACCTTTCTATGTGTGTTCATCGCCTTCACAGAATGATCCATTTTGGAGTGATCCGATTAACTCTTGGTTCAGTTTTTCTGGAATGAAAGATAATTATTTCACTTTTTAAATCTGGATAAGAAGAACAGTTTTTCTTTTTATTTATTACTTTCGCCCCCTGTTGCGTTATACTCCCCTACTGTTGACATAAAATGTTCGCTACCAAGACACTGTTGGTCCTCATACTACAGTGTTATAACCACATTACGTTTGACATGTATATCAAATACCGGTACAACTTATAAGGCCTTTGATGAGTAGCAAACGTCACTCATTTTGATGTCAAGATATCGCTACCATAGGATTTATTGATATAACTGGTGTTATACACATTTTGATGTTTTAATCTAAAAAAAAAATTATTAACCCTAGTCTTGCTCTGTTTTTATCAAATAGAAACAGTTACATTAGATATGCTGTTCTTCCCGATTTCTAAGTTTCCTATATAATGTTGACCAACTACGAATGTTGTAGATGACTTTAAACCTACTTATGAGATGGCTCGCACCAGGCAACGCATTTTAATTCCTTTGTGAGTAGAGTTCTAAAACTAGTCGGTTCCGCAAGGCAAGCTACAGTCGCTTGGCAGCATTCCAGTTACTGTCCCCTTACCGTTTTAGTTTGATTCTCCAACATTGTAGACGCGGGAATATCTCCACTATCGTTGTTTCAGTAAATTTGTTCAAGGTATGAGATCCTCTGAACTCGTTCACGGGTCCGTAGTTCAACTATATTTATGTTCAATCAGCTACTAACTTCTATCAACAATCGTGAAGAACCGCGTGCGTCTACCACGATACTGTCCACCACAAGAATGTCTTAGCGTGAAATTGGCAACAGCGCCGTCTCGCGGTTGCCGCTCAAGGCGAAATACGCCTGCGAGTTATCTCGTGCTACTAGCTATCGAGAATATGAAAACGACAGAGGGGTGTGCGTGTTGTCTTTAGAACATATGTCGCCAAGCGATGGATGGAAGTTGCTGGGTTCTATTTAAAGATGTTCTAACTGATGATAATCCTGCACATATCTTGTTTAAAAGTACTGACATGATGGTCATGACAATTGTGTTTTTCCTTTAATCTAGAATCCTTACTTTTTCGTGCGCTGTCAGCATTTTTTGGATGCAAACAAGATAATTGAAGCAAGATGCAATAAGATTTTTAAAAAATCTATATCCTTGAGACTATTTTATTTGATACGGCCTGACAACGCCACAAGAAGCACAATAAATAGCTTATGATTTAATGTTGTTCTAAACAGTTTAAAGTGAAACAGAAAACCGTTAAACCAGCAGTTTGATGAAACACAAAACTAAACCGGTGAGAATGACAATCACGCTGTTTTCTAGTCATTCGAATTTTGTATTTTATTTATAGTATAACATTACAAATGGGCAAGAGAAAAAAGTTCTTGAAATATCGATCTTTATTGTACAATATCTATCAATCCAGTCTGCTTTTTATGTCACATGAGTAAGGTATAATAACGAATAAAAGCAGCTTACTTGATGTAAGAAGTACCGCTTTCATCGTTATTTTAAAAGTTATTGCCTGTTAAAGCTCCGTTTATTCGTATCTTTGAAAGATTTTTCTTTTCGGAAAGCCTAATATCGATATGTTTGCATTGTTTAATGTGGGTTTTATTTAAATAACTGTTAGATATAAGTTTTGTGTACCCTTGTTTAATAATGTAGCAATGTTATTTGTTTGGCTATGTGCAGGTACTTTGCAGGATCTGTATTTATAATTTATAAAAATATAGTTTCTTTGTAATTTCTTTCGGTCTTTAATTTCTACTTTTCTTGCGTCTGTCTTTCTAGGCGCTGATGTCTGAATTTTTATCAACTCTTAGTTTTATTAATATTATCACCTCTCTTATTTCATTCTAACTGCCAGTTGTCTATACCTGTTTGTGTATACTTTTCTCACGCTACATCAGTACTTTCTGTTACACATGCAAATTTTCAGTTGTTATGGAAATCTCATCCACATTGTAAATTTGTCCATTTCATGAAATGGTATCACGTCACATAATTACTTTTAATTTGATATTGCGCATGACATAAACAATCATATGGATCCATGATTCTGCTATACGGTTGGATAAGTATAGTGTTAAGCTTTGTTCTCAGGATTTAAATACTGTTACGTCTCCGTTTGTTAATTAACTTTCCGTAACTTCGTTCCGACGAAACTTAAGCGACACGAGTCCTTTCTCAATAAAACTGGTTTATTCTTTCCGAATATAACTTTACCGATACACTCAACTTCAACAATCTCGCTAAACAAACGCTATAACAACGAACGTGCTCAATAATACTTCTGACTGCAGTTCAATTACTCACTATCTACACACACATTATCCTGTCACGTTGGC